GGCTGTTGGCTCTTAGTTGGTGTGATGTGCCCAGTCTGCCGCTCCGTCCTCTACAGCGAGTGCCGATGGGCCTGGCTTCCGTGTCAGGGAGGGGAACACGGCCAGGGCTCGGCTTCCTGCCCTGACAGGCTCTTGCTCGGTCCTCAGGGAGCTTCAGGAGAGGGAGAAAGCCCTGCGGCTCCAGAAGGAGAAGCTGCAGAGGGAACTGGAGGAAAAGAAGAAAAAGGTACACGGGAGCCGGGCGTGTGGGGCTCGCATGGGGTCAGCGCTGCGCTGTCGGCACTGAGCTGTGGGCTGGGGAGGCCTGATTAGTGGCTTCTGGGACAGGAGCTGCCCCGCCTGCCTGGCCTCGTGGGTTTGGCATGGGGGTAAGGGGAGCACATACACCCAGTCTCTAACACCCTGCTGGCTGCTGGTCCCAGGAAGAGCAGCAGCGCCTGGCTGAGCAGCAGCAGCTGCAGGAGGAAAAGAAGAAAGCCAAGGAGGCTGCAGCAGCCAGCAAAGGCCTGAACATGACCATGGATGTGCAGGTGAGGCTTGGGCACCGGAGTGGAGATGCCCCAGCTCTGATTATTCTCTTCCCGGGAGTTTCAGGCACAGATAATATATCAGGACCATAAGAAAGGAAGGATACAGTTGGCCGAGTAGCTTTTACAGTTACCTTTTTTTTTCCTTTTTAACGTATAAGAGTTTATTTGAGCCAAACTGATGACAATTGCCGGGAAGCAAAATCTCAACAGATTGAGAAAATGCTCCCTACTATTTTTGATAGCGTATATTTCTTATCTAAAAATGGAATTTGTTGTTTAAAAAAAAAAAACGAAACTAAACTTTATGAAAGTATAAAATAAAAGAAGGGTACCTTCTGATGAAAACTCTAAGCCTGGTGTATATCCTTCTATATGTTTACACATATAAACATTTTATACACCTAGATACAGACATACACAGAGTTCTGAATGGACACAGAATGTACAGACTGCCCTAGTCTGTTCAGGCTGCTTTAACAAACTACCATAGACTGGGTGGCTTCAACAATAAATATTTATTTGAGACCGGGAAGTCCAAGGTCAAGGTGCCAGCAGATTCAGTGTCTATTGAGAGCCCTCTTCCTTGGTTCACGGATGGCTGGGACTCGCTGTGTCCTTGCACGGCGGAAGGGGAGCGGGAGCTCTCTGGGGTCTCTTTTCTCAGGGCTCTGATCCCATTCATGACCTAATCACCTCCCAAAGGCTCCACCCCCCACTACCATCACATTGAGGGTTAGGAATTTTGGGGAGAGGGACACCAACATTTACTCCATAATACGTACCATTTGGCAGCTTGATTTTTTTTTTCTCCCCCTTTTTTCTTTCATTTAGTATATTGTAGACATCTGTCTATTTCAGCACTTGTAAACCTTATTTTTGATGGCTGTGTACTAGTCATTTGCCAGAATTTCTTTAACTAGTGTCTGTGGGCCAGCATTTAGGCTACTTCAGTTTAATGTCTTATAAACAAAATGTACTATGAGGAAGGGTTTAGAGTGCAGCATAGGTTAAGATGTTGGAAAGTTGGACGTTAGTTGAACGTTCACTTATAACAGATGTTTAAATGACAAACCATGGGATTCACAGTGGAGTTCCCAGGAGCTGTTTGCGGCAGACACACTGCCCTGGAAGTACGTTTGCAACTTAACTTTAACATGAAAAAGGAAGATACAGAGCTGTGTATATTGTGCGACTTTTTTAAATTAAAAAACGACCCAGACTCAACTAGGTTCCCACCCTAAATATCTGAGAAAAATCCCTGCGTGCTCCTGGCAGGGGAGGAGAAAGGAACCACTGTGAAATACTTGGAGGACTCTTAAAAAAAAAAAAAGAAAAGAAAATGTGACCCTGAGCCTTTTGATTTTTTTCTGTGAAGTGAGGCGGTGGTCAGAGCCCCAGCACTCCTCCTGGGTGGTGTGGAGGTGCAGGAGTTGAGACGAGGCGGGAGCTGACGGCCGTGTCTGTCTTTTCCAGTCTCCAGCTTGTACCTCCTATCAGATGACTCCACAAGGGCACAGGGCACCCCCCAAGATTAACCCGGATAACTATGGGATGGATCTGAATAGCGATGACTCCACGGACGATGAGACCCATCCCCGGAAGCCCATCCCTGCCTGGGCCAGAGGTGAGCAGGGCACCCGGGCTCCCTGGAGACCTGGGTCCTCATGTGTGATTTCTGGGGCCCTAGAGGGTGTGGCTCGGCGGATGCAGGTGTTGGGAAGCTGTTGTGCCCATGGGCTGGCAGCTGGATACGTTGGCCAGACGGGCCTGCACCGGGCCTTGGAATGTGCCCAGGGAAGGTTGGGCACTCTGTGGCCAGTGGGCCCATCTTCGGACTTAGATCTATGATGTTGGGCATCTTTGTTCTCCACACATGCATTCAGTTGCAGCTGGCTCTGGGTGAGTGTGACTGTGCGGCCTGAGGCCTAGGTGCAAGGCCTGCCAGCAGTATAGTGGGGCCTGTGCATACAGTGTGTGCTTTACAGTTTGCAGGGCTGGGGGTCAGGGCGGGGAGCAGTCTCAGTCCCCAGGGGTCAGCGTTCTATAGAAGACACCTTGCTCTTGTGTCACTTCATTTGAACCCCACAGTAACCAGAATCTGACTTGGGCTCCTTAACTACCAGCATCAAGTCATTCGGGAGGTGGTAGCATGCAGGAGGCAGTGTGGCCAGGAGCCAGCTGGCCAGCAAAGCCACCTAATCATAGTGGACCTTCGCCAGCTTACTTAAACGCTCAGTTTTCTCATCCGTGAAATGGGTGTGATAAATAGGACCCAGCCAAGAAGGGTTATTGAGGATGAAGTGAATAGGCGTATGGAAGGCAGGGCAAGCTAGACACACGTTCCAACTCCTGATCCTCCTGTGTCCCCCTCAGCTGTGGTGGCAGGGCTGTGTGCCCCCCACAGCCTCAGCCTAGAGGCCCCTCAGTCTGCACCCTGCACCTCGGGGCCTGTGGGCTGATGAGATGAACAGCTGACCCAGACAGTGGAGGGTGGCACCCTATGCTTAAGTTCTGGAGCTAGACCTGTCTCCAAACCTCGGCTCTGCCAGTTACTGGCTGTGTGCCTTGGGCAAATCTCACCATTATAAAATGGGGGATAAAGGACCTGGCTCCCAGGTGGATGTGGGGATAACGAGGTCATGCGGTGAGGGCCCAGCCAAGTGCGAGGCCCCTGGAGCTCCTGAGGACCCGTGCTGAGCTTAGAGGATGGCGGTGGGAACATGTGACGAGAGCATTGCCAGGGTTTGGTCATGGGGCCGTGTTCGGGCTGAGTTTGAGTTGTTCCAAGATGTGTGCCTGAGAAGCTGCAATCCCAAAGGACACACCAGCTGGCTGAGTGTGAGGCAGGGCTATTGAGACTTACTGGCCGGGGAGAGTCTCCAATGGCGGCCAGCCGGAGGGTTACTGATCCACCTGCAGGCAGAGAAGCAAGGTTCTAGAGAGCCAGCAAACAAAGAGCGTTCCATGGGAGAAATCATCTGGCAGGCCCTGCAGGCCTGTCGTCATGTACGCAGGCCCAAGACGCCGGGAAACCTTGACCGCCAGCCAGCCTACAGAACAGGCTGCCTGATAAGCAGCGTTCCCATGGAGCCAGGAGACCTTGACTGTCGGCCGGCTCCTCTGCCTGCGGGCCAGGTCCCTACAGGCAGAGGAGGGGGGTTCAGCGGCGCTGACAGGGCGGGAGGTGGGGCCGTGCTGGCGTGGAGAGGATGATCCGGGCTCTGTAGGTGGGGCAGGGGCAAGAGGAGGCTTGTGGGGAGCCCCCAGGCGGTGACCCGGCCCTCTGTATCCTGCAGGCACCCAGCTCAGCCAGGCCATCATCCACCAGTACTACCACCCGCCGAACCTTCTCGAGCTCTTTGGAACCATTCTCCAGCTGGACTTGGAGGACATCTTCAAGAAGAGCAAGCCTCGTTACCACAAGCGCACCAGCTCTGCCGTTTGGAACTCGCCGCCCCTGCAGGGCAGCAGGGTCACCGGCAGCCTGGCCTACAGCCTGAAGAAGTACTGAGGCCGGCCTGCGGGCCCTGTTGGCAGTCTCAGCCCCAGCCCTAGTTTGTCTGTCTGCCTGCCTTGTCTGTCCATCTCTCTGTTGATCTGGTGCCCTCCTGCCTGGTGTTCTGTCACTGAGGGTTTGGTCACGTGTATATAAACGTTCTCTGTGTGCTGCAGATGGAAAGTGGCCCAGGCCTGTTTGGAGGCTGCGCTGGGGTGTTCGGGGAAGTGCCAGGCCCAGCCCCGCCTGGCCCACAGGCAGCACTGTGTACATAGATTGGTATTATATAATTCAGCTGAATTTTAGCCGCTAGTGTTTGAGAGCTAGATTAATAAAGTCTGTTCCTTCAAGCCTGCTGTGGGTATCATGAAGACTTGGGGGCCTCGGCAGAAGGCCCTGGACCCTGGCCCGGCAGCCTGGTGTCTTGGGCCACTGGATGGGATGGAGGAGCGAGGCACTGTTCCTTCTCTCGGGGTGTGCTGCAGGGTCATCGGGGTCCCACCCCCAGAGAGGCTGATGCAGTGGGTGACCTGAGGCCATCCTGGGCAACCCTGAGAAACATGTCAGCTGCTCTCATGAGGGGGCAGGTGAAGATACTTCCTGATTTTTCTGGGGAGCTCCTGTTTGTAAAAGAGGGCTTGTTCAATGGGACAGACCTGGGGTTGAGGTCAGGCAAACTGGGCTCTTGATTCAGCTCTGCCCCTTAAGACCGTCTCCCAGCACCTCCACGCCCCAGGCTCCAGCCTTGCTGCACAGAGTCAAGCACATGGACATGCCACTGAAGCGGAAGTAGAAAGGGGAGGCTTAGAAAGGCGCTGTCTCTTGAAGCTACCTCGGGACCAGTGCTTGCAAGCAGTTGAGATGTTTTCCCAACAAAACCAGGCAGTTGCTAATTAAACGCTGAGTGCCAGTGGGAACTGGCCCTGGTCCTGCCTGGTAGCTGCCAGCCGTGTTCTAATGCATGACAGCCACCAGCTTCTTAATCCTCTGCTGCCCCAGCCCCTGGACAGGTCGGTGGGTCAAATCAAGCCACAGCCAGTTTCTGTAAAGCTATACTGGAACCCACGTGGTAGAAACAAATGTCTGTTGTCTCCAGCGGCTCTGCTGAGGGCAGAGTTAAATAGTTGCAACAGAGGCCTTACGACCTGCAAGTGGAAAAAATTTCCTGTGACCCTTTACAGAAAAAGTTTGCTGACTCTTGCTTTAGGACAGAATAAAGGCTAAATTCAAGAGTACTTTAAAAAATGAGGAAATAGTCAACACACAGGTTAGGCGGAAATCTAGAGGATTCTGTCTATGCAAAGAAAAACTTGACGGTACATTCAAATAAGGTGCACGATTCAAATTTGTTCCATAAGTGCTCTGACTAGAAACTTGTGGGGTCAACTGGCAAGTGTGCCTTTGCCTAAAGTCACACTATCAAAATACTACTTGTAACCATATTTATATAGTGTCTTTGAGAAAATTTGCTACTCAGCAAAAAAGGTAGTTCAGTTGCTTTGCGTCTTCACCAGCACTTGGTATTGTCAGTATTTCGTATTTTAGCCATTCTAACAAACGTTTAGCGAAATCCCATCGTGGTTTTCAACTCACATTTTCCTGATGACTGATGGTGGTGAACATATTTTCATGTGCTTATTGTCATCTGTGTGTCTTTGATGAAGTGTCTGTTCAAATCTTTTCGCTTTTTATTTTTGTTTTTTTCTTTTTGCCATTTAAAATTTTTTTTAGTTCGTTTTTTGTTGTTCATGTTTAAATTGGGTTGATTTCTTGAGTTTAGAATCTTTATGTGTTACGGATACTATTTGTTGTCAGTTATGTGCTTTGCAATATTTTCTCCTAGTCTGCACTTGTCTCTTCATTCACCGTTTTTTCATAGAGTAACAATTTTCATTTCGGTGAAGTTCAGTTTATTGACTTTCTTTTATTTTATGGATTGTGCCTTTTGGTGTCATGTCTAAGAAATGCTTTCCTAGTCTCAGTTCTCAAAGATTTTCTCCTATTTTTTTCTAAATGTTTCATAGTTTAACATATTACATTTAGATTTATGAAACTTCTTTTAACGTATGAGGTTTATGTTTTTGTTTGTTTGTTTGTTTGTTTTGGGGGCGGGGCTTGTGGACGGATGTCCAGTTGTTCCAGGACCATTTGTTAGAAAGACTGTTCTTTTTCCACTGAATTTCTTTTGTATCTTTGTCAAGAATCATTTAGCCCTTATTAATATAATATGGGTTTTTTTCTAGACTTGATATTCTCTTCCATTGATGTGAGTCTCCTCTTTTACCAACACCACATGGTCAAGATTACTGTAGCTTTTTGTATAAGTCTTAAAAATCTGATAGTGTGATTCCTACCTCTTTATTCTTTTCAAAATTATTTTGGCTTTTCTATCAGTTTTGCCTTTATTTGTAAATTTTAGAATCGGCTTACCTATACAAAAACATGCTGGGATCTTGATTGGAATTGCATTAAATCTATAGATAAGTTTGGGGAGAATTCACATATTGATGATGGTGAGTCTCCTAAACCATGAACATGACATGTCCATTTATTTACGTCTTTGGTTTCTTTCATCATCGTTGTGTAATTTCAGCATTGCTGGTCCTATACAAGTTTTGTTAGATTTAGAGCGAAGTATTTATTTTCTTGGAGCTATTGTAAATGGTATTGTTTTTCTAATTTTGGTTTCTAGTTGTTCGTTGCTGGTATTTGGAAATACAGTTGATTTTTGTGTGTTGACCGTGTATCTTGTGATGCAACGAAAGCAATACTTAAGGGGAAGTTATAGCACTAGATGCTGTGTTAGAAAGGATATCTCAAATCAGTGACCCCAGCTTCTACTTTAAACAACTGAAAAAAAGAAGAGCAAATAAAAGTATAAGCAGAAGAAGGGAAATAACAAAGGCAGAGCAGAAGTCAGTGGCATTGGAAAGAGAAAAATAATAGAGAAAATTTAATTCAACCAAAGGCTGGTCCTTTGAGAAGCTCAAAAACAATTTGTATACCTCTACCTGGACAGATGAGGAGAAAAAGAAAGAAATGACCAATGTCAAAATGAGAGGTAACACCGCTATAGATTCTACAAATATTAATAGAACAAAAAGAATATTATGAACAACTTATTGCAATAAATTTGACAATTTAGATGAAAGGAGCACAAATTCCTTGGAAGATGCAAAATATCTTAGTTCACTCAAGAAAAAATAGAAAACCTAAATAGCTTTTTTTATGAAAGAAATTGCATTTGTAGTTTAAAATCTCACATAGTACTGAAGGCCTAGATCACTAGTGGTAAATGTTACCACATATTCAAGGAAGAAATAATACCAATTCTACACAACCTCTCCCAGGAAATGGAAGAGGAAAGAATACTTTTCTGCTCCATCTATGAGGCCAACATTGTTCTGATTCCCAAACCAGACAATAAAGATATTACAAGAAAGGAAAACTACAATTATTCCTTGTGAACATCACAAAAATTCTTGACAGAGTTTTAGTAAATCAAATCCAACATGATCCTATATAAAAAAGAAATCAAATCATCTTAATCAAATAGGATTTATACCAATAATGTAAAGAAGATTTAACATTTGAAAGTCAACTAATGTAATTCATATTAGTACAGAGCCATGTGATTAAATTAATAGATGCGGAAAGTGCATCTAACCATTCAAGACTAATTCAAGATAAAAGCTCTAAGCAAGTTAGAATTTAAAGGGAATTTCCTTGGCTTGATAAAAGTACATCTACAAGAAAAATTCTCCAGCAAATATGGTGAATGTCTGGATGCATTTGTCCCATTAACAGATCGAATGCAAAAAATGTCCATTGTCATTGCTTCTGAACCTTTTATAGGAGGCTGTAGCCACTGCATTAGGGCAAAAAGAAAAAAGGCACTGGAAAGTAAGAATTAAAACTATATTCAGAGATGACTTGTAAATCTGATAGTGTCTACCCAAAGGTTAACAAGTGAGTTTAGCATGGTTGCAGGTATAAGATTAACATACAAAAATTAATTATATTTCTATATATTTACCTTGCATAATGAAATTGAAATAAAAACCAATGCAATTTATAACAATATCCAAAATTATTGAAGTCTAATGAAAAAATTTGATAAAAGATGTGAGAGACCTGTACAGTAAAAGCTATAAAACATTGCTGGGAGATTAATGAAGACCTAAATGGGGTATACATAGTATTCATGGATTAGAAACATTCTTCTTAAGATGTCAGGTTCCTCCAAATTGATGAATAGATTTAATGCAATGCAATCTCAACCAAAGTCCAAATAGGCTTTTTTTTTGTAAGTTTATGAAAAATCTGGTTTCAATGGAAATTTCTATAACTACACAGGACCTACAATATCCAAAACAAGTTTGAAAAAAATTAGGAGGGCAACACTACATAACTTCAAAAGTTAATACAAAGCCGCAGTAGTCAGCATAGTATGGTATTGGTGTAAAGATAGACAAATAGACCCCTGGAACCATAGAGTTCAGAAATAGAACTACGAATATATGTTCACTTAGCTTTTCACAAAGATGCAAAGGCGATTTAATGTGGGAAGGATAATTTTTCAACAAATTGTCTTGGAACAACTGGATATATTAAAAATCTCCAACCCCACCATATATCACATTTAATTCGTGATGGACCATAGGCCTAAATTTAAAACCTAAAAATATAAAGCTACAAGAAAATAAGAATATCTTAGCGTCTTTATGTTTGGCACAGATTTCTTAAACCTGTCACAAAAAGTATGAACTATAAATGTAAAAGTCAATAAAAATTTAAAACTTTTTACTCTTTAAAAGGTCACTGTTGTTCAGCATTCCCCACTCCCCTTCCCCATGAGTGGGATGGTGCAAATAACCTATCTTACCATATTCAAAGGAATAGAGCTGGTAATGATCACCACCTGGTCAGAGTGAAGACGAAGGGAACTTGCAATGGCTCTCCATTCCTATGATATGAGGTTCAGTGTCTCCCTTTAGAAATTAGTGTATCTTGGCCTGTATAAGAATCAAAACTTCACATTGTGTCACAATCAAGACTTCTCCTTCCCCTCTCTTCTTCCTTCCCTTTTTCTCTCCCACCTGCTAAACATAGTTTCTGACAGATTTAGGGGTTTAAAATGGAAAGATATAAGGAGACAAGAAAGTTGTTAATAGACTCATACTCTTGGGACTGGTCGAGGTTCCCTGGACCAGTCTCATTCTCTCATGGGACACCTTCATGGGTTATCAGAAAGCTCAGATTACTAAGATCTGTTCTTCTCTTCATGGTTAATAAACATTCAAAGTACAAGCAGCTCTGGAAAAATTAAAAATATGACAGCTGGAAAAGATAATAAAGGAATTGGAAGACTATATGTAACAAAAGTGATGTATGCATAGTGGGAAGAATAAAGAATACAAATATGTAAGAAAAGAAAAGTATGCTAAAACATCCATCTAGGATGTCCAACTAATAGGCTTCTAGAATGAGAGAGATTGTGGTGGGAAGAAAGTCACCAAAGGAAAACATCTAGAACGTTTTCCAGAAGTGAAGAATAGGAAATTGAATAGCTCAGCTCCCAGCAGGTGAATGCAGGATATGGTGAAGCCGAAAAGGAACAATGGAGCCATGGATGGGGGTTCCTACCACTATATTCTTGATGGCGGCTGGGCGAGACACAAGAGGTAAACATCCACCAATACCCCAACCAGGGGCCTTCCTGCACCACAGTCTTGATGGTGGCCGGGCGAGACATAGGAAGTAGGAAATGCAAGAGCCGCATCATCCGTGCTTGCTGGAGCAGCCCACCAGCTTTATAGCTACAGAACAATAGTGGTTAATGGCAAACTTGTTATAGCTGATGGCCAGCTCGGGTTACGTAACCGAGCCAGCACCTTTCCACTTGAGGCTGAGAGCCTGGAACTGCTCTCTGGGACTCTGTCCCAACACCCACTCATTCCCTACATCAAAACACATTTTTGTGACTTTTTGGAACATCAGTCTAAAAAAAAGATTTTCCTTTTAGAAAGAACCTACACGAAGAAGCAGCAGGTGAGAATCATGGTTCCAGCAGGGAAATCATTTATATCAGTTTCCCCATATTCCGCTGCTAAAGGCCCTGGGGCCAGAGCTTCACATTCTGAAGACAACGGTTAGCTAGAAAATGTGGGCAGGGAGTGGAGGGGAACTTAGTAACTGAGTAGATGCCTAATAAGCCATGTGAGCTGTCACATGTGTCTAAAGATTAAATATTTAACCTCAGATTTTGTAAAAATGTAAGGCGTGTAAAGTTCAGGGGTCTGGTGAAGAAGCCAAGGAGAATTAGCTGGAGGTGACTCCTGATTCTGGTTCGGCTTCCAAATCCGCCTTCCTGTCCCAAGTCATTAGATGGATCCGGGTTAGAATAGGTCAAGCTAATGTTTACATCTTGGAAACAGAAAGACTGAGGTGGCCCAGTCCTCAGATGATAGGGCTCCAACTTCCTGCTGTCCTCACCTGTGTCTCCCTATGGTGACTCCAAAGTCCTCTCCAGGAACATAAAGAACATGGTGTTCCCACCAGGATGTCACGCTGAGGCCTGGGTTTAAGTTTGATGTTGGGTTTGAGCCTTGCCTTCATTAGACATTCAATTTCAAATGAAATTCTCTTTCTGAATAGATCTAATCATAAAATATGTAATAACTCACAATCCATCCGGATAAGCAATTACACAATCATTAGTTAAGCACCTACTGTACAACTATTGTCATAGAAAGACAGAGTGTACAGGTCATGCCCTCCCGGAGCATAACACGGGGAAAGAGCCATGGGACCTGGGCCTGGTTGCCAGGACAGAGGTGCACATGGAGAGTCATGGGGTCTTGGGAAGGGGATCCCCAGAGACTTAGGGCCAGGAAAGGACTTAAGAAGTTGGTGGTCTTTGATGTGGTGTCAGGAATGAATAAGGAATTCAACCCAGAGGGACTGAGGCAAGGACAGTGGAGAAGGAGACTTCACAGGGAGCAGATGCCTTGAGCTGAAAACTGTGCGGCCTGCATGGAAATCAACCTGGAGTTCACACAGGGCGGTTGTGCAGGTCAAGGTCACAGGATCCATCTGAACCATAAAGTGAAGGTCCAGAGGGTCACGCTGAGGAGGTCAGCAGTGCTGAGAGCGCCTCTCGAGCCTGAAAGCCTGGCCCCTTACTGGCTGCGCCGGCCACTAGCTGTGTGCCCTTTGTCAAGCTACTTGACCTGTCTTGTCCCATTGTCTGCAGTTGGGGAGAAATGATATGCCCACCTCTTGGGGAGGGTGACCACACATCTCAGTTTGCTCAGGACAAACCTGGTTTATGCTGCTGTCCTGGCGTTCCGTCCATTAAGAGACCGCTTTCTCCTCCAAAGTGCCCGTTTGGTGAATAAATTTCATCATCACCTTACTCATTGGGTTGCTGTGAAGATTAAAAGAGGTGGTCACCAGTGCCCCTCATTGAGTAAGTGCTCTACAATAATTTGCCATTCATGTTTTATTGAATGTGGAAAATAATAACACAGGTTGGAGGTGGGTATTGAGAAGAGCCAACGGTATATATATATATATATATATATATATATATATATATATATATATATATATATGTTCGAGAGACAAATTGTATGTAAATTATATAATTAAAACTCAAGAAGAAGTCAGAAAAGCAATCGAGGAAGCATGGCTCAAATAACAGTGTTTAGAAGTGAATGAGGGAGCTCCAAGATGGTGGAGTAGATACACACTGTGCCTGCATCCTTGCATGAACACATTAAAATTACAACTAAATTATAGAAAAATCGACCTGGAGAACCATTGAAGTCTAGCTGAACAGAAGTCTGATAACTGAAAATATAAGGAAGAAGCTATGTTGAGACCGGAAGAAGGCACAGAGAAGCAAAACAGGCCCCAAACCTCCCTGCGGTGATTGAGAATCAGGAGGGTATCTAAGCCATGGAGGTCCCCCGTAGAGGAACAAGAGATCCCAGCCACACACCAGGCTCTCCAGCCCAGAGTAATGGTGCTGGGAGTAGGAGCACCCTCAATATCTGGCTGTGAAAATTAGTAGGGATTCTGACCAGCTAAGTGGGACAGAAGGATGATGAGAAGCCCAGACATCCCCTTAAGTGACCCATGCACAGACTCACTCGCTCGCAGGCACTCACCCTGGGCTCAGGTGGAGGGACAGTGAGTTGGATAGTGTTGAGGCATACAGGGGGCAGACTGAGGTGTGTGGCCTGAGAGAAAGAGCTGGAGGACAGTCACCATTGTCCCTGTGAAGGGTCCTTCTTTTGTGCAACCAGCAGGCAGGTGCCATCTTTCCTGTGTTGAGCCTACCCCAACAGGCCAAATCTGAATCTGATCCACCCTGCTGATTCACTGGATCCCAGCCCCACCCTACTCCTCCAACACTGGAGCATTTTCTCAGTGAGCAGCCAGCCCTGCCCATATTACACTCTTTTTGGGAAATGTATCAGAGTCTGTGGGCCCCAGGTGGGCGACAACTGGCCTCGGTGTGCTCTGACACTTTTGCTGAGTAGCTCCAGGCTCAGCACTGGCACCAAACCAGTCTACATTAATCTGTTGACTACACCTCTTCCCACTCTATGACCCTTTGAGACCCCGCCTCACCCAACTAGTGTACCGCACGAGGCTGTATCAGTGGCTGAAGCTTAAGGGAGCCTGCAGGTGGCAGCAGGCCTGGGGGCATCCTGGCATTTTGCAGAGTTACCCCAGGCCCAGTACAGGTAGCAGATGCCCTTGGTATGGCCTCTCTCACACACCTCCAGGCTTAGCACAGGCAGCAAATAACTGTAGATCGCTTTGTAGCTCCTACTACCAGGATTCCCTGAAAATAAGACCTAGCTAGAGAAGAAGCCCTAGCATGATTCCTCCAGGATGTGGAGGGCACGCACTTCTCACATGAGGGTTTTATGACCTATTTCAGGGAGAAGGGAAACTGTTCCACAAACTCCTTTAGCTTAAAATATTCAGTATGCTAAGGTGCCATAATTTGGCACCTAAAATCATGTGAGGGCTTATTTTCTGGCTAGGGCTTATTTTCAGGGAAACATGGTAGGTAGGTTCTGGCTGGTCACAGGCAGTGGGTGGCCTGGGCCTGCACAACAGCCCCTCCCAAGAGGCCCCACAAGCAACCTACTTAAAGGTTTTCTTAAGACCAAAGCAGAGCATCGCTCAATTAACCTCAGAAGTGGCATATAAAAAGGGTGGTCTCAACATATACTACTAAGTGGGGTAAGCCCCATGCACAGCAGCCCATAAGTTGTGGACATGGCCAAACTCTCAGCCAATCAGCCTGAGAGTCAATCCCACCCACTGAAGTGCCAATAGCAATCAAGCCCAACTACAACAGAAGGGCACACAGAGACTACGCAAGAGACACCCCAGGAGCACTAAAACAGGTGACCAGGAGACAGTGCCAGGGCCCTACAGGGCACCTACTGCATAAGGCGACCCAGCCAAGACTGGGAGACACAGCAGATATATTTCATATATAGAAACAAACACAGGGAGGCATACAAAATGAGGAAACAAAGAAATGCATCTCAAATGAAAGAACTGGAGAAAACTCCAGAAAAAGAACTAAATGAAATCGAGGCAAGCAACCTACCAGATACAGAGTTCAAAACAATGGTTATAAGGATGCTCTAGGAACTTAGTGAGAACTTAAACAAAGGGATAGGGAGCCTAGAAAAGAACATAGAAACCATAAAGAAGAACCAGTCAGAAGTGAAGAATACAATAACTGAAATGAAGAATGCACTAGAAAGAATCACCAGCAGACTAGATGAAGCAGAGGATCCAATCAGTGATTTGGAAGACAAGGTAGCAGAAAACAGTTAATTGGAACAGCAAAAAGAAGAAAGAATCCAAAAAATGAGGATAGTTTGAGACCTCTGGGACAACATCAAACATTAACATTCGCATCATAGGGGCACCAGAAGGAGGAGGGGAAAGAAAGGGACTGAGAACCTACTTGAAGAAATAATGACTGAAAACTTTCCTAACCTGGTGAAAGAAATAGACACACAAGTCCAGGAAGAACAGAGAGTTCCAAACCAGATGAATCCAAACAGGCCCACACCAAGACGCATTATAATTAAAATGGCAAAGGTTAATGACAAAGAGAGAATCCTAAAAGCAGTATAGGAAGGCAACTAGTAACTTATAATGTAACTCCCATAACTGTCAGCTGATTTCTCAACAGAAACTTTGCAGGCCAGGAATGATTGGCATGAAATATTCAACATGATGAAAAGCAAGAAATGACAAACAAGACTATTCTACCCAGAAAAGCTATAATTTAAAATCCAAGGACAGATAAAGAGCTTCCCAGACAAGAAAAAATTAGAGTTCATCACCACTAAACCGTATTACAAGGAATATTAGAGAGACTTCTTTAAGATGGAAAAAAATATGTATCAGAATTATGAATAATGAAATGGCAGTAGCTACATATCTATCAACAACTACTTTCAATGTAAATGGATTAATTGTTCCAATCAAAAGACATAGGGTGCCTGAATGGATAAGAAAAAAAACCCTTACATATGCTGCCTACAAGAGACTAACTTCAGATTGCAAGACACACACAGACAGAAACTAAAGGGATGGAAAAAGACATTTCATGAAAATAGAAACAAAAACAAAAAACAAAAAAAAGCTGGAGTAGCAATACTTATACCAGACAAGATGGACTTTTAAACAAAGGCTAAATAAGAGACAATGAAGGACCCAG